CCTTGGCAGGAACCGCCTGGGTGGTGGTACAGCCCCAGCGTATCGCTGGCGGTATCGGTGCTCGTTCCTGTGCGCTCGTCTTCTTCTCTCGGCCCGTCCTGCCGCTGGCTGTTGACCATCTTGGGGGCCCTCAAGAAACCATTCCCCAGGTCGCGGTAACTCGTATCCCAACAGCAGGGCGGCGGGGGTTTCTCTTGTCGCCGCGTTGCGCCGTGACCGAACGTTGAATAGAGCCCGATTGATGTGTCGATCCCAGGTCGTTGGATTTATGCCCTGGAGTTGGATCCGTATGCATTTCTTTATTTCTTGAATCCTCCTCTCCGCAGGATTGGCCTGAGGGTGGTATATCGGCGTCGTCCAGTGGTGGCACCCCCAACGTCTCAGCGCGGAGTCCCAGTTGGCGCTGGTAAACTGAGNTTCTTGGTATGTCGTATGCCATCACGTTGTATAGGATAGGAGATAGTGGAGATCCTTGCGGTAGCCCCTCTTCCGCCACCTTTCTGGTGGACAGCTCTTCTTCTATTCTTCTAAATGATGCGATAATCTGTTGTAGGTATGCCAGCGTGTCTATTTTTCTCAGTTTATGTAGGAGTCCCTCTCTCCACGTCCTATCGTATGCCTTCTCCATATCCAGTAGGACTGCGTATGCGTTCATTCGTTTTCTTTTTGCTTTTTCCACTTCTTCTGTGAGGTTTTCCGCTTGCATGACTGCTCCCCTCTCTTTTCTAAATCCGTACTGGTATTCCGGTATTATGTTGTTTTCTTCTACGTACTCGTTGATTTCTTCTTTTATTAGTATGTCCAGTATTTTTCCCATCGAATTCAGTAGGCTTCTTATTGGTCTTCTGTTTTCGGGCTTCGTTGTATCTTTCCCTTTCTTCTGTATCGGAACTATTATCGACTCTTTCCATGCTTTCGGATATCTTCTTTCCTTTGTCGTTTTGTTTAAAATCGCTGTCACCGCTTCGGTGACGTTTTCTGGTGCCTGTTGTAGTGTTTCGTTCCTGATTCCGTCGGGTCCTGGTGATTTCTTTTTTGGTAGTGTTTTGATTATCTTCTCTATTTCTTCTTGTTTCCATTGTTTTGGTGTTCCTTCCTTGTTTTTGTCTATCTTCATTATCTTTATGTCCGTTGTCTGATCGTTCGTGAATACTCGTTCGTAGTGTTCTGCCATTTCTTCTGCTATCTCTGCATCTTTGTATAGGTATCCCTTTCTACCTTGTAGCGGCTGAGGACACCTTTTTTCCCTTCTGTATATCCTGGCGACTTGCCATAGTCCGTTGGGTCGTTCTTTGATATCGTTGATTTTTTGATCCCATCTCCATTTGTTCTTTTTCTGAATCATTTCTTTTACTTCCTTTGTCTTTCTATTTAGTTCCTCCTTGTCTTCTATGTTTCAGGTACATTTGTTTGGCCCTGTGTTTTTCCTGTACCAATCGCTTCTCCTCTGTGGTCAGGAAGTGTCTGTTCTCTCTGTTTGACACAGTTATTGTGGCTGCCTTCTCCGCCTCTTGTATGGCTGTTGTCAGATTTTCTATTTGTTCGTCGGTGCTCTTGTCCTTGTTGTGTTCGTATTTTTCTAATATTCCTCTGTATTTTTCCCAGAGTGTGAACTTCTTCGTTGTCTCTCTCTTTATCTGTCTTCCTGTTCTCGGGAACGTCATTCTGACGGCCGCATGGTCTGAGATTAGGTCGGTGTCTCTCTCTACGTCGACTTGTTTCTCCAAGTTCTTTGTTATGAAGAAGTCTATGATGTCTCCTCTCGTTCCGTTGGTCGGGAAGTTTGTTTCTTCAGTAGGTGCTCTGATCTTGCTGTTAGTTTGTCTGACTATTTCCCATATTTTTCTTCCTCTTACGGTCTTGTATCGTCCTCCCCAGCTCGTGTGATGGGCGTTAAAATCTCCTCCTATCACGGTCGTTCTGCCGTCTGTCAGTAGCTCTTTTAATTCATCTTCTATCAATTCCCTGTTTGGTGCTAAGTAGATGGCGACTAGGTTTACGATCTTTCCTTCTATTTCCGTTTCCGTAACTGTGCATTCCGTTTCTTTTGGTTTTTCCAGATGTCGCATTTTTATTTCATTTCTTGCTATTACGGCTGTTCCTCCGCCCCGGTTGTCTTTCCTATCATCTCTGTATATGTGGTATCCTGGTATTCCTACTCTCGTTTGGGGTTTTAGGAGTGTCTCGTTCAATAGCGCTACGTCGATTTTGTTTTCGATGAGGTATTCTTGGAGCTCTGTTCGTCTTTCCCAGAGTCCATGTATATTCCAGGTTATGACCTTAAAGTTTTCTTGATCCATTGAATTGGCGTAGTTCTTCTCTTAATATGTCCCTGATCGTCGTGGACAGTTCCTCCCTTATTATCTGCCTTACAATTTCCCTTAAATCTTCTTTCTTTTCTTCTTTTTTCTCTTCTTTTTCTTCCTTCTTTTTATCTCCTCCCATTATTTTGGCGAAGGATACTCCTTTCCTTATTTCGGCTTTTTCTGCCATTTCTTGTTGCGCTTTGTAGCGATCTTCTTTGATTTTGTCCGGGTTTGCCGGACATTCTTTCCATGCCGAACTGAGCTCTCCTCCGCAGTAGGCGCATTTCCTGATCTTTTCCTGGCAATTCTTGCCTTCGTGTTCTTCTCCGCATTTATAGCATCTCGTCTTTTTCGAGCATCTGTAGCTCACGTGTCCAAATTCTTGGCATCTGAAGCATTGTACGGCGCTTCCACTTTTCCGTTTGGCCTCGACTTTTACCCTCATGTCGAGAACTTTCTCCACGTTGAAGATCCTTTTTCCTTCGGGTGTTTTTTCGGCTTTCAACATGACCATGTCTATTTCTTTCCCCTTCGAGGTCATTCTTTTTACTGCGATGGCCGCCACTTCTTGGCTCTTTAATTCTTTTAAAATTTCTTCTTCCTTGTACGATGTGGGTATCCCTTTAATGACTACCCTTAATTCTTTTTCGCTTCTTAGTTGATAGGTGTGGTGTTCCACTTCTCCTATCTCCAATTTCGCTTTCAAGCTTCTAAAATCCTCGACTTCTTTCGTAAATATTTTTAGGCCCTCCTGGCTCATCTTTCCCTCGAATTTTATTCCGGCCTCTTTGGCCATCTTTTGGACTTTCACCGCTTCGTTCGCCTTCTTGAGGATTATCGGTGGTGGTCTTTCCGTTTTCTTCTTTTCCGCTTTCTTTGCATCTTCATCTTCTTTTGGTTGGTTCTTATTTTTGGCGCTTTGCCTCTCTTGCTCTCTTTTGAGCGCACGCCTCTTCTTAGCTTCTTTTTCGTCCCTTATTATTTGGGACATTCTTGTAATTTCCTTCTTGTTTTCCTGTAGATCTTCCTGGTCGTTTTCCATTTCTTCTAGAACCTGGTATCGGTTCGGCGCGATTATGTCGTCATCTTTCTCGTTGGTTAGACGCCTTTTCTTGGCCATCTTTGTCATCCTCTCTTCATCGACCATGATGCTTTCCACATCGATGTTGTGGTTTTCTTTCAATTCGTAGATTATGCTGTGTAGCGCGTCTACCAGCTCCTTCGCGGTGTTCCCCGTGAACCCGGACATTCTTGTTTTCTGGGCCCTTGCCCCGTTCCTATGAAAAAGAAAATTCCTGTAAATAATTAATTATTAGGCAAGTTTGCTAACAACGTCGCTAAAAAATAATCTATGCCCTAAAAAGGACGCAAGATTTCTTCTTTTTGAAGTTTCGCTCTCTGGAGATTTCTTGTCGAATGTCGTCAGTGATCGTAACCTCTGCTCTGCTGCTAATTCTTCTGTTCGACTGTGCCCGCTGATGGACACCCGGCCGCCTTAAATAGGCGCCCTTGGGTAAAACCCTATCAACCGGGCGTTGTGGTTGGTTGGCGACCGTCCGATCCGTAGGTAGGGTTGACGACCAATGGCCAAGCAGATCGAACGGCGCTCAATTCGTACTTGGTGACAACTTACCACAAAACTTAACGGCTGATTTGACGTGCCTTTTCGCTGATGATACTTCGCTATTGGGGACATCTAGAGACAGACAGAAACTTCTCGGAAGGTCCGAAGAATTCGAGCTGGAAGCGAAAGAGTGGTTCGCAATAAGCTAAGACTGAATGGAAAAAAGACGCAATCACTCATACTTACCAATAGAGAGCCAGATATGCGAGATACTATTAAATTCCTTGGTCTTAACATAGATTCCCATCTAAAATGGAATACACATATAAAGTACGTTACAAAGTTAGCCACAGCAACCTACCTCATCAGAAGAATAAGGATTATCTCAACCCATGAAGCTGCTAGAACCGCCTACTTCAGCCACTTCAATTTCATACTTCAATATGGCATTGAGGTGTGGGGATCATCGCCTCAAACTTCTCATAGTGATATCCACCAAGATGACACTAGGCAGAAGAACAGGATCGTCATTCCACAATACCGCATCAAAAGAGCACAACAAAGCACTAATTATATGTGCATAAAATTATATAATAAATTGTCACCAGCCTATTCTGAGTTGTCCATCTTCAGAGGGAAAGTGAAGCGATTGTTATTCTACAATACTCCTTCTACTCAATAGAGGAATTGCATTTTTTATTGAATATTATTATTATTTTCTTGTATTGTTGACTATTGTACGCACATTTCTTTGCGACAAATAAATATTATTATTATTAAACTGCTTGTAGAAGACCAAATTCTCCTATCAGAATACTAGACTGCTGGCAAAGGACTAAATACAGCTGGTAGAAGATTAAATACTGCTGCCAGAAGACTAGATTGCTGCTAGAAGACCATATACTGCTGGTAGAGCACTAAACATTCCTGTCAGAAGACTAAACTGCTTGTAGAAGACCAAATTCTCTTGCCAGAAAGCTAGACTGCTGACAGAGAACTAGATATTGCTCGTAGAAGATTCGTCACCCTTAGAAATTTTATATTTATGTACTTATAAGCTGCAAAAAATTTTCTTTCTTGCTACTTCTTATTTTAATACTAACTCATTTAATGTTTGTATTGTTATTTAGAGTTCAGATACTGATGAAAGTGCGTTAGGATCAAGTACGATATTTGCAACAAAATTAAACAACCAGTTTATGAGTCGCGTAAGATAAAACTTAAATTAATAAATTTGAGAATGAAAAAAAAATTATTTTTTAGATGTTTTACGCCCCATTGGGAGTTCACCAATATTGCGGAAAAATCGGTCACGAATACGATTATTACACATTCAGTCGCGAGTCAATAATCGATTTCGAAAGTGTTTCGGGAACCCACGGAAAAGGATTTAAACTAGAATACAAAATCGATAAATGTTACCGTAATTTAACTGGTCAACAAGGAAAAGTGAAGACGAAAGTCGAAGGAACTGGTTGTACCATATTAATTACAGCCCCTATCGGAACCACCGTTTCTATTTACTTTTATAATTATTATATCCCATCTAGGATGACTTGCGAAGATGATAAGATAGAGATTTATGATGGGCCAACTACAACATCCAAGATATTAGCCACTCATTGCTCGAAAACTCCGAATCCGGTGTTTTCAACGCAAAACGTTGTTTTAATACAAATTACGAAACGGCCGAATGCGATGGCTCATATGTTGGATTTTACTTATACGAGTACCGATAAAGGACAAGGTTGTGGGGGGAAAATTTATAATTATCATGGGATTATTACCAGCCCTTTGTACCCGCAAAATTTTCCGAATATATCGGATTGTGTTTGGGAAATTAACGTTCCGCATGGATTGGATGTAGAAATCCATTTTACACGTATGCTTAATTTTAGTGTTTTAATTTCAATTATTATATTAATTTTAAATTTTTTTTAGAATTCTCAATACCAAATAGATGCGACACCGATTACGTAACAATAACGACGTATTCAAACAAAATATCAAATGAACATCAATATTGTGGAAACGTAAATAAATTTGAATTATTTTTTAATATTTAATTAATGTAATTTTTGTTTGTTTTAATTAGGATGTTCCCCCCAAATTGAGGTCGTCTAAAAAGGTGCTTGTTAGATACGTGACGAGTTTTCATAATGGAGCTGTTGGCTGGGTGGCTAACTTTGGAGCAATTGTCAATTAACGTACTTAAAGAATACACACATTAATTAATTATTGTTTTGTTAAATAGATATGTGTTAATTAATATAATATAAAAATTTAAAAAATCGGCCAATTCGTATTTATAGATCCTAAGAAATAATTTTTGCGCCAAATTAAAACTTAAATCTTATTCTTTCAATAGATATCAAAGTTACACAAGACCACATGCTAACAAAAACTTATAATATTAACCAAGGACTAAAACAAAGAGATGAGCTGAGACCAACGTTGTTTAATTTGATACTGGAATACGTCATACTCTTACGGGGGATGGATTGCGCCGAAGAAGAAACAACAGTTGTTGAATAAAACGAAATAATTTATTTACAAAATATGTACAAAAAAAAACCCTCAAAGGTTTTTTTAAGACGAAAGGGGTCGTTTTCGAATTGGCGGTTGAAGTGCTGGCTTGTTGTCGCTGTTGTTGTCGCTTCGGAGTTTGGTTGGAATTG